TTGCTCCCTCAGAGTTTGACAGTTTTCATTAGACACATGGACACCCAACACAAGATGGTGAAAACACTAGAAAGCATGTCTATCTTTCCCTGTCAACCTATCTCTAGGCAACCTCCTCTCATGGTGGAGACTTCAGTATAAAGCAGCATTGTGAGTGCTGGGTTACCTTTTGCTTCCCTCCCTTTTCTGCCTTTGTGCAGTTCATGTCCTCCTTCGAGACCCACTGATTCTCAGCGGCCTCACAAACCCAGCAGCTCTGCTCTGCCCCCTTGTTGACAGCAGAGCGGAGAAAGCCAAGGGCGGAATTCAGGCTGCCATCAACTCACCGCCTTCACACTGCGAAAAAAGGGCAGCTATGCAAGTAGGCACCAGGCCGACACAGAAGAGTAACAAGGCAAAAGCCAGTTTTGGGGGGGTGACAGTTTAGAATCATGATACTGCACCCATTCAGGTGGGAGCATTAGTTCAGTCATTTGTGCAGAAAGGGTAACAAGCCAGTGAACACTGCAGAACTAACACTGAAGCCTAGGCCACAATCCATTACCAGAAAAAAGCCCCACAACCAAACCCCATACAAAAACCACTACCACCAAAATAAAAAAAAACAACCCTGGGAAGGCCTGCTCTGATGCATCTGATTCATTCTGCAGGTCCAGCCTGCCCGAACCTAGCCCCAGCTCAGCACCAGAACAGTGCTGGGCTGACTTTGTGCAGAGCTATTTGAATCTGTCTACTCCACACCCCCCCGGGTTCCATAACATTAGCAACCCCAATGTTTGGTGTATGCCATGCTATCTTAACTCCAGAATAAGCAGGTATTGACACTAATTATAAGAAAACTTGATGCGTTTCCAGAAATTTTTAACCACCAGCCCAGGAAAGTAGCGACTTGGGGTTTTCTTAATACTCTTTTAACCAGTACACACATTTTCAAAGCTCAAAAGGATTGTTTAGTCTTTCTTCACAGTTAACTCAATCTCTACACATAGAACATGGAGAAAGATATTACCATTTTGGTAGCGAGACACTGAAGAAAAAAAGATGGCTTTGTGATTTAAAAACTAATGGCTTTTTCATTCATTCTCCTGTTAAATTAGGCAACATGTACTTAGAAAATCTTCAGGAATTTAAGTTTCAAATTATCAGTTGAGATTACTGTTCAGCTACCAAAGCATGCTCATCATCTTAGACTAACGTAAAGAACAGCATCGCTCCCATCAGTTCTCTGCAGAGAAACATACATATCAAACCTAAGTGGGCCATATATACACAGCACAGAAGAGATGCTGATAATGTATGACAGCACTATTTCTTTTTGGCAGTTCAAACATTTCTAAACAGGAATGTGATAACCCAGAAAAAACATGACTTCTGCCCCTCAAAAACCCAGGTCTGGTTTTGAGACAATTTGGAAATAAATGCAAGACAAGACAGGCCTGATTCTGTCAGCAAGACGAGAAAGAGATCACATGCATTAAAAGATAAAATATTGCATGTTCCGAATGTTTGCAGGGTTTTTCTCCTTTAGTAAGAACAATTCAATATGGCCACTTTTGGTAAGCCCTACAGTACAAATAAGCATTACATTCTTTTTCCATAATATTTTCAGTAAAATAATGACTTCATTATATTTTATAATACATAAAGAAGCCTTAAAAATGGCTATGAGTTTTTACTGTTTATCTCCCCCACTCATCTATCAGAAATACCAAGTCTAGTCTTCACCGGTTATAAAGGATGCCTGTGAAAATTTCAGGGTATGGTTGCTTATGTGTCTCCACAACTCATGAAAAGCAGCTGTGTTGAATCTAAAACCCCTCCTTTATGAGAACCATTGTGTACTGAAGTTATAGATATTAATTCTTTGAACCATGCAAAAAATACAGCTGTCCCCCTAAAAACAGTTGAGATTTCATTTGTTTGATCCTGAGTCATCACCAGGCCCACAGTCTTAATGTTCAAAGCTGAAAGCCTTTATTTTTCCACAAAAAAGGCAAGAAGAAAAAAACCACCCACTTGAAAATCCTCTTTATCCATTATTAAAATGGCCATAACACTATTAAAGCAAGAACAGTATTAACATTTTCCATCAAGAACAGTATTAACATTTTCCATCAATTCTGACCAAAGAATTTTAACAATTCTTAGAAGGGAACGGAGGTCAGTATAGCTACATAGCCTGCCTTTATCGCTTCCCTACCACAGGTTAGACATCCATGACACTGGTCAAAATTAGGGCAACACGGATGTACCTGTCCCAAAGAAGTCTTTTAGCTAAGAAATAGCTGGTTTATGGACAAAAATTGGCTAACTGAAGTTTGAAGAACAAGCAAAACCACAGCACAAGCAACAGACAGTAAAGCATGTTTACCTTCCTGATTTGGTAGCAGATTAACACAAAACCAGAAATGCTGGGAGGAGGGATGTAAAGGTTGTTATGAATACCTACCAGCTGTAACCAGCACAAGATTTTGCCACAAATTCACTATTACAGCTCTTCCCCTAAAAGTCATCTACAAGAAACTGAAAAGTTTCTCATGCTACCTGTTCAAACACTTCCTTCTCAGCAGAAACATTCACACCTGTAACTGGTAGTTACATTTCTCCAAAAAAAGCAAAATTGGATTTTTTTCTTTCAAAAACTTAAGTTTAATACATAGCCTGTAAGTATTGCTATCACTCGTTAAACAAATAAAACTTCCTATATTTAAGAACTGAAGAAAATTGTTTGAAGTTTCACAGAAAAAAAAGCCTGCAGATGTATCATTACTTACAAGGCAGTTATCACAAATGCTACTTTCTTTTCTTTTTTGTGGTCATTCATTCTGTTTCACAAAGAGGTTTAAAATTATTACATCTCAAACGAAAGCCTATAAAAACATATTGAAAGATACAACATGCTTAAAAAGACTTTTCTTGGTTTCACAAGCTTTTCTTGTTTCTCTTTTATGAAGAGCTGAGAAATTAAAATTAGCATTTGAAAGTATTGAAGAGATTGTTTAAACTTCTCATTTAGGTGTCAGATTCCACAGGTGCAATTTCTCATTAAGTACAGTGAAACCTTGAAATCAACCTTGCTAGGCAACGTCTGTTCTTAACATTATAAAGCAAACCAGTAAAATTCTGGTTTCCCTACAACTGAAGATACTCTTAGACAAATAATCAACTAAACATTAGAGCCCAAGATAAGCACGGAAAGAACACACTGGTTATCTGTTCTCTTACCTTACATATTGAGGGTATCAAGGTTCTGTAACTTCTGGTTAAGAAAAGAACCTTAACTCATACCATTTAATTGTGTAGTCAACTCTTCTGCCATTATTATAACTCATGTTAGAGGTCTTTTAATTTTAAAAGCCATTAATAAAAAGAGCACATAAAGTGCACTGCTGGGAACACTTGGGCACTGGGACTAAGTGACAGGATTTCTTTTTGCAATAAAGCTAATAATTCTTGAAATAGTAAAATTATGCTGGCACAGCATTTTGTTTCTCTTGAACTAAACTGCTTGCAAGACAGCAGAATAGTTTTTTCACAGAATTATTAAAATTGCAGTTTAAATTGACTTGTAACAACATAAGCTTTAGGCAAACATCTATTTTTATACTGATTCTGGCTTCCAGTGGACCAGAACTCTTTATTTACTGCTAATTCACAAGTGAATATATTATCAGTCAGTTTGCTGACTAATACTTGTACAAAACAGAATCTTTCAAGAAGTACTTTGAATTGAACCAGATAAGATGCAATTTCTTGATAAATTTTGCAGGTATGTTCGCATCCCTCAAGATCTTACTACTCAAATGGTAAATAAAGATAATCCCTCAATTTCTAACTTCCCCCAATTAAATAAAAGATAGAAACCAGAGTTTCTAATAAGCACTCAATCTTCAAAATTACAGTAATACCTTTATTATGAAAGGCAGTACCACTAAACAACAAAAAAAAATTAGAAAACTCACACACTCACTAAATACACACATTAAACTCAAACTAATTTGGAACCTCACTGTCTAAAGCAAAACACATGCCTGAAGTCTTGCATTCAAAGCTTCTCCTGTTTCATTTAATTTTGTTTAAACATATGGGAAGATGTTAATTCTAAGTGTTTAGTATTTTGTATCTCAACACAGAATAAGTATCTTCATGCTTACAGCTTCCGTAAAATACATTTACCAATAATAATATAAATGACAGCTTCAGGACATGAGGAAAACACATTGATAGTGGTGTTACCACCCATTCCAAATAGCGGTTTCTGAAATACTTACAAAGCTTTTCAACTTACAGGCCTCTAAGAAACATGGTAAGAAAGAGAAGACACTAAAACCAAAAGAAGTTATATTTTGCACTGCAATGTAGATTCATGCCATCTGTGCAAAGTAAGAACACTAATTATTTTCGAACATCCTGTTCTGAATTATTTTACTGACTTTTTCAAGTCAATACTTATCTATGCAGAAATCTTTGTGAAAGCCATGGTAGTATCAGCAATAAAAAAAAAAAAAAGAAAAATTGCTAGAGAGGAAAGTAAAGTTATTAATCTACTGGGCAACTTTTTTGAAAGTTTACCTGTATTGTTTATCAGTGACAATCCTTAAGCATTAACTAGAGACAACCTTTTTTACTTTACGGTTCAAGATCGTTAATACTGAACAACACTTACACCCCAGGTGCCCCCCAAATAAAGAACATCAGTTGCACAAAAGTACACTAAACAATATTTATCTATTTATTTTGGTTTGTTGCTAGTTTTGGTTTGCTAAAACAGAGTCATGACCCAATTTAGTTCCTTGAATAACTCAAGCCACATTTAGATTAGCACATAAATGGTGACTTGAAAAAAAATTTTTTTTTTAAATCAATCTTTTCCAAGACATTAGACTAAAATTCTGCACAACAATGACATCTCATATCCTGTACCATGACTAAAATCTGAAGAAATTATATGTTAGCATGCTAGACGTAAATATAATTAATACTTGATGCATTGTATTTACCATTCTGTAATCCCATCCATAGTTGCTTATGATCCTTTTTTTGCATCTCATTGATGACTTGACTTTTGTGCTTTAAAGCATCTGCTTCTTTTATAGAAGCCATAAAATGAGCTTCAATCACATCCTTAGAATGGCAGTGTAGAAGATCCTTTTCTGGAAAATTCTGCAAAGAGAAAAGATAGCTCAAGAGAAATAAATGTATCACATACCTTAGAAGATGAAGAATAAATGGTAATTTTAATCAGGTTTATATTTACACAAAGCAGCACCCTGGAATCTTCTACTCTGCTGACAAAAAGGTTTTGCAGTGAAAAATGTTTCATGAAAAATAAAAGTTGAACAATTTTCTGTAAAACCAGAAATTACTCTAGATCATCTAACCTCAACTTGATAAATATATTTAAATACATCGGTGGATGTATTTAGGCCCTTGCATCCAAAATTCAGGAAATGAAGAGTTTTAACATGTTTTCAAGCAGATGTTCAATTCTCTGGCAATGAACAGGAGAAAAGGGGGAGAAGTGACAAGCACGCAATTCCTATTGACTCTCAGTGGCAGTTTAGCACCCGTTTCTCTGCAGGCCTTTGAAAAACGTTTCCTCTAAGTATCACCATCCACATATAGGAACTATAGCATGCATGCCACTTACAAACATTTTTCCTTAGAGATATTGGAAATCCTTGTCAGCTCCAACTTTACCTAATACATGTGCTTATTGACAGCTTGTGTGACATGATTCTATACCCCTTTTATTTGGTTAGAGTTGGCACACTGCATTCAGCATTGCAGATGCACAGTTACCACTCCTCAGGTAACTTTGATCCCCTCAGTAGCTGACAAGTACCTTTCCCAATTAGTTTATTAAGGAATTATAGTAGTAAATCCTGTTCAGGTACAAAAAAAATATTTCTTTGGAAATTAACTAATTAGAAGTTCAGCACTGTATAGGTATACAGTTAGGGTTGTTCCTTCTCTAATTTTTCTTTTATCAACACTTAGTATCACTTGCCATTTTACAATAACACAAGCATTATCACAAATTCATAGTCTTCAGTTTTCAAAGTTTTAAAAACCCAGCATGCTTTATCCCCTCCTTATTCATCTTCTTTTCACAGTTGCTTGACTATGCTGAACAGTGCAAACCCCCAGAGCCAAACTAAAGTGGCATCATTAGTACTCCCCTTCATAACAAGGGCTTGCCACTTATTTTTATACTTCAATTCTCATCTGTTATTCCATAAGAGGACCTTTCCTCTTAACTCATTACAAATTGGCTATTTAAAAAAGGCTTTTGTGAGGGACTGTCAAAACCATTTTAGAAATACAAGTACATATAACGGGATATTTTTCAAAGGCTTTTACAACATAGTTAACATGTCACAGTAGGAGCAATATAATGCTGGAAAACCCCATACCTTCCCTCCTCCACATAAAAGCAGGAAAAATAGTGAAGACTGCCTCAAACTATAGGAACTCAAAATATCCAAGAACCACCAACAGCTGGCAGTATGAAAGGGAGCTGGGGATTTCCTTACCTGAAAGGAATTCTGAGGACAAGAATGATAGTTCCCTCCTCATTAGGTTATTGAAAAGGGTTGGAAATTAAATAACAGAATTTCATATAGTGACTCCTCCTTATGACAGCAAACCCAGACTCTGGAAACTGTGGATCAAAACGATGAGTATCTTCCAAAAACAGGAGTATGAAGGGAAGAGAAAACTGCTAATATCTTTTTCACTGAAGTATACATGGTTTGGTATTGAACACACAAAAGGAGTGCTATTGTTACTTAGGACTGATGTATGTGGAGCTGACTAGAAATCTAAGGACAGAGATAAAGCTTGTTTCTCATATGAGGATGGCCAAGTATAAAGACATTAAAGACGACAGAACAGAAAGGAGAGTTCTTCTAGGGCAGACCTCGCTCCTTTTCTCTCCTACAAAGCTGACTGTCAGCATAGTTGGCCCCAAGATGAATGGAAGACATTACTGGGACTGTTACTTGCCAGCTGACATCTGTATAGGCCTGTAAAATACTTTTAGAAGTTTAACTTACTTGCTTAAATAAAAATAGTAAAGTCTTGTAACCAATCCAGAAGAAAAGAACAGTCAGAAATAGCATACTTCAAGATCAAAAAAGTTCTTTACATGCAAGAATTCGAAGTGAGACACTGGCATCCCTCAAAAAAAAAGATGAGACAGTGGAATGTACCTAATGTCAAGTAACATAGAAACCTAGAAACTGACTTTCACAGTTAAACACTGAAGTTTAGCTAAGTTTATGAAAACAACAGTTTTGCTACAACAACTGTTTTGTTACACATACATCTAAATATAGAACTGTGGGGTCTTTTTTTTTTTATATTCTTGTCTTTCTACAGGTAGGCATCTCCCTGCTGACTTCCTTCCAATGAATTTTGAATTACAGGGTATGTCACTCCCTGGGGATGTGTTCCAGAGAACATGCACAGTGTGGTCTGCAGAATAGCAAGGAGATACTTAAAATTAGTCAAAGCTAGCTAAACTAGTGAAAAGAATCTAGCCACAGTACTTAACTACAAAGGTGTGGCATGATTGGTTTTCCCAGCTTCTAAGTGATAACACTGTGGAAGACCAGAAAACACACCTACAATCTTGGTGCTGTCTACTATTTTCTTTAGAAGAAAAACACTGACACATTTCTGTGCAGTACTGTGACTAGAAGCTGAAGAACCTAAAATATGAAAGTGATAACTTGGAAAACAACACTGCCGCATCTACAAAAAGCATATGAAACAGTTTCACCTATATGAGACTACCAACAGAAAATATGGCATCCCCATTTATAAACTAGGGCACAGAATAATAAGTTTTATACTTAAATATAGAAGATGTATGCTTGTATTTTTTTTTTTAAACTCTACTTTCCTTCTTTCTACTTGAGGAAATAGTAATCAAATGTAAATAACTTTATTCAGTTCCCCAAAGAAGGAGACAATTGTAAACAAGCTGGTAGTCACACCTGGCTACACAACTATGAGATTTACAGAAGGTTTTAACAAATCCCATAAGCAGCTTGAATTCAAGTACTCTTACTGGTGATGTCTTACTCCCTCCATGCTCTGTATCTTTGAAAGAAGTTATCAAGGGTTGACTCTGATTTTCTTAGAAAGCTCAAGCAGTACTGGTTTTGTTTCACATACCAGTAGACACTTGCAGCATAAACTTGGTCATAAAAAAGTAGGTATCATCTGTACAGACAGGAACACTAAATGACCTCTCACATAAAACTGTTCCAAAAACATTGCAGGTAATTTCAACAGTCTGGTTTCATAACTCCTTTACACCCATATTTATCTATTAGTTCTAGTTCACAAAATATCTGTTTATGCTGTGACAGTCTAGTTGCATTAGGCTACATTTACAGAAAATTACACCACATAATCATAGAATGCCCAATAATAGAGCATTAAAAAAACATAAGAAGCATATCCAGTGGCAGGGGGAGCATCCATATGTTTGTGTTTAGTTACCAACAGTGGGGTTTTTTAAAAAAAGATTAATTTTTAAAAATCCCTGATTTATACTTCTGGCTTCCACTATGTCTCCTAACAATTCCACAATTTATCCATATGCTACATGGAAAAGTACTTCCTTTTCACTCCACCTGACCCAATTTTTAGCTAAGAAAACCAAAAAGATAGCTGTTATTAAAAAAACAGACGCAGTCTTTCCTCCTCTACATCAGGTCATGGGTGGAGAGGCAGACACCAGCAGATACAGGCTTCAGCACAGGGAGAACATTAGCCTTTCCCCTGGCACACCCAATTTCCTTTCCTCCAATAGTGCTACCATTTCCAGAGCAGTTCACCACCTCCTACCTACTGCCCGAAATCTGGAGAGCTGGTTACCGCGCTGAGAACATGCATAGTGCTAAGCATGCTGCAGAGTAGCATGAGATGAGCTTAACAGGAAGGGATAGTTTCCCTGCTCCCTGTAAAGCCACACTTGGCTAACAAAAGCAACTTCCCAGACTACAGCTTCTCATGATTCTCAGACCTTAGTACTCAGTTCAAGCTCATCCTTCTACAACTATTTAAGGCAACTGTATTTCAACTTTACTAGACATATAGATGAATGTTATTTTATTGCATACCAGAAGTACAAATGAATAAATCATTTCTTCAATGCAAACAGTAAGTATATTTATTATTTGGTCTGCATACATAACACAGGAGGACAGTTACAAGTAACTGTCAACTTTCAAACTTCTGCTGAACAGAAATAAACTTTGTTTAAAGTTAAAAACATGAAAAAAGAAAATGGATGGGTGAAAAAAAAAGTTGAGAACATCTGTAAAAAGTGTTTTTTAAGGTATCTGTTGTGGACTGCATACTTTGGTAAAACAAAGGAGAAAGCCATGACAGCAAAAGTTAAACCCCAGAAAAATCTAATACTGTTCAGTTAAACCAATTACAAACTACGGCTCTTTGAAAAAAATAATCCAGGCATAAATCCCACACCTAAACTATTTAGCTGTAATAAACTGTAACACATGAAAATGTCTTCAATATCTTGACATACTTTGATATATTTCAGTTATGTTTTGACTTTAAAGAGGGGTTTATTTAAATAAACTTTCAGATTACATCAAAAACACGAAGAGAGATTAAACAGGTGCTTAATCCAAGGCATTATATTTTTAAAAACTAACTTACATCAGCTTTTACAATAATACTGCCTTAGCAGTAAACTATTTCTGCTGATCTTTAATGTACACCTTTGAGACAAACTTAAATTAGCTGATCTTTTGGCAAGCAGCAATATAAGGACATTGAAGTCAGTTTACATTACTACATGAAATTGAACATCAGCACTGGGATGCTGCAACTGATTTCTCAAGATGGCTCTACTTTGGGATGGCAACATTCACACACTGCCACTGTTAATCTCCCAGAGCTCTCAGAATGTGTAACAATTAAATCATGATTTATGAAACTAGACGCCCTACAGTTTCTTCAAAACACTCTGGAAGTTTCTTCATCCCAGCTTTCTCTGACACAGATCAGAGAGAAGTGTAGCAATTACAATGCTTTCAAAAACATCCCTGACTTCATATTAATTCAGTCATTTTAAAAAGTTCCAACATGTGGAAATACATATCATAAGAATGTATGATTTCAGTGCACCCTTCCAAAGAGAATCAGACTACTCCTGTCAGCAACACCTTTTCTAAAACTCCTTCAGGACAAGAATTGTTTGAATGAAAGTGTTCAACACAACTGCTTCCCAGTAACCTTTTCACTTCATCTCAAATCTCACACAGTAAAGTCAAGCTCATTAACCTAGCATTTTCCTTTGGATCAGTTTTCTTATTGCATTGTTTCTTTTACAATGGAGAAATTAAAGCTTCAAAGTTAAATACCATGATTTCTAGTCATGATTTTGACTTGAAAACATTCCTGGGATTATCGTCTCAATGCACTTCAGAGTATGAAAGAATCCTGCACCAAAGTACTCTTCTGAGCAAAGATCAGTAGTGCTATGAAGTCATACCTAATGGTTTTACAATGTGTAATCAAAATAATGTCTCTCCTGTGACTAAGCTGTCACAAGACCAAACTCATTTCGCTCAGTTCTCTAAAGGGGACCCACAAAGTGTAACAGCATTCCCTGCCTTCCAGGATTTCTACAGTATCTCATATCCATACTCATGTGCCTAGAAGGATGAGCACTTCTCAATCTTCAGTCAACTCAAGCTGACTGAATTAAAAACATCATACAAAGTTCCCTTATATCCACTCAATTGCACTGAGGTAGTCTCATAACTTATCTTGAAAAACAATTTTGGATTTTCAGGGTATAATAGAATCATTTTCAAAGGAAAGTCATTTGAAAGCATATATAATCTCATAGAAATGGATTTACAGCTTTACAGAAAACTCTAGATGATTCCTGAAGAATGAACATTTTCCCCTTCAAGTCATACAATTCGCTTATTTATAAAACAATTCTGAAACTTTTTCCTAGCTTCCAAATTTCATGTAATCCCATGCTCACTTCTTAACTAAAGGTGTATTTCAATTTTACCTTGAAATGTACTGTGATGCTCCAAGGAAGGGCTGTATTTGATGCATGGAGATCAAACAGCAAACCAATTGGGTAATGCCTAAAAATGAAGGGATACTAAATGAACATAAAAGCTGTGCATTTAATTCTACATATAACAGTTAACGTACCTGTGTATACATGAAAAAAATTAGCTGTTTGACTCCCACAATGAACATTCATTATTGCTTATTCAGAAAGTTATATAGGCAGGTATAAATGACTGACAGTTTCTGGCAGAATCAAGTCTGGAATTCACATGTTTAATATCTAAACCAGTGGTGTCTAAGGTGTGCCCACAAAACACTGCTAGTTTTGTAACAGCAACAGTAGCCTACTGCTGCTCTGTGGAATCCTTCAAATCAGTATTTTTAGTTAAAGAGATTGATAATGGTAGGAATAGCTGGTCCGACGGAAAAGTATAGATGCTTTCAGATATTTAAATGCCACGGGTTTATACCACATTGACCCTTAACATCTCTTCCCTCTCTCACCTGCCTGATGTCATTGTGGAGAATAAGCAGTAAAGTGAAAAAATTACATATCTGTAAAAGGCCTGAAAGAGCATAGATTAAAATGAACTCTGTATCTTTACTATCAAATTAAGAAGACTATAAGAGGAGAAAAAAGATTAATTGGAATTTTGTATTTTAGTAGTATTCTGGATTAAAGGAGTTACACAAAGAAGCTGCTTCCTCCAAATATTCACTTCTGTCTTATAGCTTTGTCTCCTTTAAATTCATCAGAAAATACAGCCTCCAGCAATATAAGGAATATATATCACATACACAAAACTTCCACAGGAACTCTAAAAAAGTCTTTCTGCAACTTTCTCATAAGCAGACACTGGCAAGATTTTTTTTTTTTTTTTCATTCAGCATACCAAGCTCCATTCTCTTATCTTTCAAAAATCTTAGCTAAAAGAGCCTTCCCAGGTTTTCATCCTACAAAGACATAAACACACGCTTAACTGTAAACTCAGTAGCTTCACTGAATTAAACGGGACTGATCACAGGACACAGAGCAAAGCACACAGGTAAGTTTTGAAAGAGTTTCTGGAGAGCCATAACCAAGAGCATTGCTCTAAAAACACCTGTGCCAAGCCAATTTCCTGACCTGCTAAACTCTCACACAACAGTGCTTTAGCACCCTCTATGGGTAAGCTAACCCCAAAGCTAAGACAAAGTCACCACAGCAGCAAAATAAAAAAACAAAACAAAGCAGTACTGCAATTCTCGAACTCACCTACTGCATTTGTAACTTCTTAAAGAATAGGGGGAAATATCAAGAAAGGATCTAGAACTGTGTTTTCCTGACAAAGGGAATAAAGAATATAGATAATGCATATCCAGATTTATCCTGATTCACTGCTAATGCTCAAGTTTTTACCAGTAAGACTTTTTACTACTAACTGTCAATCGTGTCTCAAGTACTTCAACAGGGATTGAGCAAGAGTTCCATGCAAGAGTGGTTTACCAGGTGAGCTAGTAATAAAAATCAGATTTCCTTTGATAATTAGATGAACATGAACAACTTTCAGTTACTTTCAGTTTATATAACAAAAGATACAGCCACAAAAAAAAAAAAAAGCATCAGTTCTTGGCCTCCCCCTCTATTTTCTACCCAGTTTAGATTAGAAAATGAAGTTTATGTACTCAAGCCTTCTTCAGTAGAATCCTTGTGTTTTGCAGAGTTACGTTTTTTATTTTGAAAGAGGCCAGCCCTGAATTCATTTTGTTTCATAGCAGAACACGAGATTAATGAAGACAACAGACCACAAGACAAATTGTTTTCTATTCAGAAGTACAACCTTCCATTAAGAGGAAAGTTTACAACAGGAGTAAAGCAATCCTGAGATATAAGACATGTCCTGCTTCAAATTCCAGTTCTCACACACTGGCATTTAATCTGAAGCCAATAGAAGCCTTAAGTAATGCCTGTACATAATCCCGTGTTTCACTTATTTTTGAGATATAGGTAGCATTTTTTAAGAGTCTGGAAACAACAGAACTCCATACAACAATACTAAAGCTATTCTTTATATTTCACTCGTAATAAAACCTGGTTTCTTAACCAGGATAGAGAATTAAGGGAGGCACAAAGAGAGAAGTTGAAAAGAAAAGAGGAGCTGCCAATTTGCACATTGAATAAAAAAAAAAAACAAAAAAACCCAGCATTCACTCACTCCACTCTTAAGTGTTATGAGCCACCTTGTGCTATGAGCCAGTATTCCCTCATTAAAGATCTTGCTTCCAGTGGTACTGCTGCAATGCTGTTTCTGAAATTCTATTTGAAAAATAGGCATTGCAACTAAAGAAATACACAACTGCTCTCTAGAACCTAAAGTAACCAGGAGAATTAAAAATAAAAAGAATTCAAAAACCCAAGACAGCCTTTAAAGATTCCCCCACCACCACCAAAAGAGAAAACAAACAGAACAACAGCTAAGGGAAACATCCAGCCCAGAAAGGTATCATTTTGAAAAAATATTATGGGATTGTTGCAATCAAACTGGTCTTAACTGGAGTGGAAGCCAAGGACAAGCAGACTGTGCAGAACTTTTTCAAAGGAAATAATGGGAAAAATATCAAAGGGAAAATGTCTAAGAGACCATAAATGGCTTTTTACAAGTTGCTAGAGTAATGATTGGTTCTGGAAAGTCTTCAATCTATAGAAGTGTAACAGCACCTTGACTTCCAGCCATTGCCAGTTTATTACTGCTTTTATTATTATACAGAAGGTGGTTTCAGAGTGTGAGAGAAGTCCTGGAAAACACCACATTAAATACTTAAAATCCTTTTGAAAGTGACAGATGGGACAATAACGAAAATTAATTATCACTTCTCTAACAATTTCTTTCTGAACTCAGGACAGAAAGTGACAGCGTGAGTTGGTAGGTTGTTTTCAGACCAGGATAATTTACTGTGGTAATTCAGTAAGACATGTCACATGAACTGATAAAACCAGGACAAAAAAATCCTATGCTCCAGAACTGTCTGGGGTACTAAGTGTATCAAGTGGCCAAAATCTGATGTCTAGGTATTTCTAGGAACAAATATCTTACTGAGGGAAATTTTGGCTGCATTGGAAAATACTCTCACCTTTTCCTTTAGTATTCAGTAAGAAATAAATTTTTCTTAGATCTTTTAAGCAAACGCTAGCATTTTCAAATAATATGTCAGCTATGCCTGATCAAGTGGTGCTTTGACCTTTTGACTTCCACTGATTCCTGATTAGGAAGGGTCAAGTACCCATCCAGTTGGCACTAGAGAGACACCTGTGCAAGTACCAGGGCACAATCCACAGAAAGGGGACACAAACTTTGCTGAAGGCCATGTGCAAGTGCTGAAAGAGGATGGTAACAAACTATAGGGTGTCATCACCTAGCATCTGCTGAAGAAACCATCCCTGGCACATCAGAGGCCTTCACTCAGGCAGAACTCCTGAGAGAGGATGCAGGTCTCCAGGTCTCAAGCTGCCAGGAGAGCTTGGGACCTCTCCTGAGGGCTGGGGCAAACAGAAGAAGTGTCCTTGCCTAGACAAGGTATGTGTTAGTGGAGGAGCTATGTCACCAAGTTAAGTTAAGGAGCTGCAGGAGGTCAATGGGCTGCACAGCATCAGGGAAGATAAAAAGACATTGATGGCATCTTCACTGAGACCTTGCAGAGATGAGAGCCTGAACTCCCAGCTGCACAGAAAGAGGGTCCACAGTCATTGGAGTGGTGAATGGAGACTCGCAAGATGGGGAAGACCGGAGTCTTGCAACCTCTGACAAGAGAGGGCAGGCTCCTTCTCCACCTGCAGTCAGCGCCTCAATGGCAGACAAGGGGCTAGAAGTTCTGAGGAAGCATCAGAGCAGCCTGAACAGTACATCCACACCAAGAGGAAGCAGTCATAGCAGTAGGAGACTCCCTCCTACAGGGGATAGAGCCCTCCCTCATCTGCCAATCTCACTTGCTACCTGCAGAGGTTTGCTGCTTGTTAAGCAATTGCAGACAGACTGGCAAGGTCTGTCCTGTGCTTGGATTATTAGCCCTTGCTGTTCAACCACACGGACACAAATTGTAAGTGCTGCGAGAGAACTCTTGAGTGTACTAAGAGCAACTATACAGCTCCAGAGGCAAGGTGGCATCTCCACAATTTCGCCATTGAAGGACAAAGGCTCAGAGAGGCATGAATGCTGGTCAATAACTGGTTGTGCAGCTGGTGTAACATCAAAGAATTGGCTTTTACAACCACAGGACACTCTTTGGGGATAAAGGACTGCTAGGGAGAGATGGAATCCACCTAAGTGGGACAGAACTATCTTCGCCTTCCAGTTGGCCAGCCTGGTGAGGACAGCTTTAGACCATGAACAACAGGGGTGTGAATAGAAACCCACAGGCAAGTAGAAATTAATGGACATGGGTGGAAAGCAAGTGGTGAAAGGTGACAAATACAAGGGAGATCTCAAAATGATAAAAGAGGGTAGAAGAGAGTGTACTACAAGTGTATGTACATAAATGCACACAGCTTGGGAAACAAGCAGGAGAAACTAGAGCTTTCACATGCAGTGACATAACTGTGACAGTGCTGGGCTAGCTGAGATATGGTGAGACAGTTTGCACAACTGGAATGCTGTTGTGGATGGATGCACACAAGCTCCTCAGGAAAGACAGGCAGGGGAGATGAGGGAAGAGTGTTGTCTTCCATGTGAGGGAGCAGCTTAGATCTATGAAACTTAATGGGACAGACAACAGGTTGGTTGAGATCTTGTGGTTCAGGATCAGAGGAGAGACTAGTAAGGGCAACATCATGGTGAGTTTGTTACAGATCATGCGATACAGGCGAGGAAGTAGGTAAGAGTCTTCTTCAAATAACTCAAGAAGTTTCTGCATCACCGACCCTGGTTCTTGTTAATCTCTGACATCTGCTGAAAAAGCAACATGGTAGGACACAAGCAGTCAAGATTTCTTGATACAGGCATTGGATGGACCAGAGCTGACCTGCAGCTGAACCTGTTACTTACTAACAAGATAAAGTAGTTCTGGATGTGATAATCAGTGGCAGCTTTGGCTGTAGTGACCATGAAATGGCAGAGTTCAAGATCCTGGAGAGATTGATAAAGGAGAGTCATCAGAATACAGACCTTTGACTTCACTCACCACTTCCTCCTGGTGCCCCTGCACAGTTCAGGCTCAGCCACCTCAGATGCATCACTGGACAGAGCTTTCAGTCCCTCACCTGCAGCCAGAGCACTGAACCTATCCTGCAGTTACAGAAATGCAGGCGGAGAAGGAGCCTTCCTCCTGTTGCCAGAAGTCACGAGCTTCCAGCCCTTCCATATCTTTTCCAAACCAATAATCACAGACTCTGCCTGCCATCTCCTTCAATGTAGCTGTAAGTTTAGGTTCCAGTAGGTGCAGGGTCTCTGAGAAGACTTGATCCATTTCCTTTTGTGGTCTATGATGCTGCAGTCTGATGACCTCTTCCTGCAGCTCCTCAGCTTGGTGACACAGACCCTCCCCCAGCACACACCTCCTGCAGGCAAGAAGACCATCTTCCCCTGCCCCAACAACCTCCGTGGCAGGCCCCAGGCCCCTGTTAACTCCAGACCTGGAGAGCTTCATCCTCCTCAGAAGCTGCAGACCATGAAGTTGAAACTACGTTTCAGACTTCCTCCAAAATCTCACTGGAAAACAGAAGAGCTGCAGCTGAAGAGAGATACACTACATGCCAACCAGGTATAAAACCGCACAGACTGTAAGCCATATGACCTCACAGCACAAAGTAAATAATGAGAATAAACAATATTATCAGCAAGTTCTACTTGATTCTGAATACAGAAGTTATACTTGAAAAGGTTAAGTATTAATACTCACTATTCTTTCTCTACAAACTACTAGCTCAATCTAATCCTCAGTTCCGGTATTTGGGTCTTCCCTGGAACAAGCTTCAGCTATTTAGGGGATTACCATTCTCCTAAAATAATGGTTTGCAGATAGCATTTTCCTTAGAAAAGCAATTCCACTGAAATCAGTGGAGCTGTTCTGGCAGAATATGCTTAGATTTTCTGAAGGATCAGAGCCTTAATTAGCAGATCATAATTACACTATTCATTTTCATTTCAATGTTCAATGAGTTTACTAACTCTTCACTTAATTTTAGAATTATAATTTGTATTTTTACTCTATACATATATATTATTTTTTTTTTAATTATAGTTTAAACATCACGGCGTTTGAAAACTTAACAGAAAAAAAAGACCTATTTTTGGTTGAAGTAAAAAGCCTCTTCCCTTTCTTGTTAAAACTTCAGTGAAAACTTAAAAGTGTCCTCCCATTATCTACCCAAGATTATGAACACACTGGGATAAACTTGGTACCTTGCTGTTTATTTAGACAGTATCCATGACTCAGTCAATATGGCACACCAAGAAACCAATCATTGTTAAATTCCAGATAATTTAAATAGATGTCTAAAGCTGGTTTTGCCAGTCAGTTATGAAAAAGTGAAAAAAGCTAGGTTATGTGCCTTTCTATTTACTTATTTTCAAGGTTTACACTAGGTTGGTCTCAAAGAAACAAAAGACTAGAAGAGATCTACTGCATCATGAAGTCTAAAGGGACTCCATGATGTGATGCTTGCTAATCACAAGGCAATCCAGGTTCAAGAAGCTAAAACAGTCTCTGGCAGTCTTCTTTCCTATTATGATACAGGAAATAAAAAGAGATAGAAAAATCTCTTCAGCATTCAAAATACTAAATACTTTCTGGAGAGCTGATGCTATCTATACAGAGCTAGCAAACATTGCAGCTCTCAAAACATTTTCTTTAAAACTCTTTATGGTAGAAATAGAAAGAAACAAAACCTGATGAACAATATTTATGAAAACTAAGTGAATGAAACAATGTCAGTCTGATTCCCCAATCTCTCAGGAAGAAAAAAAGACAAGATACCTTTAATAGACCATATGACAGAACAAAAATAGAATCAACAGCAATTAGTTCAATAAAGTTGAACTGAATTCAACAAAAGCCTGTGAAGCATTAGATGCAAGCACATATCACACCAGTGAAAGTGAAGGTTACGCGCATGTTTTATTATCTTTAAGCATATATCCTATTTGCATTCAGACTCCAGAAATAATACTTCCTATCTGCGTTATTAGGCATCTTTTAAGAAGGTAGAATAAGCTAAACAAAGATTTATTTGGTGATTCTACTGCAAGAAATGGTAAAGCCAAAACCACAGGCATTTCATATTACAGTAACAATGAGAACAAAAACAATAGGTGCAGCACCACCTCTGCCTTATACATACAGTAAGTATGCGCAGAATAATCAAAAACATGTTCAACATTAAACCTTCTTCTGTTTTTCTCAAACAACATGCTTTTCTTACCCCCCTCCACTTCTGCCATCTTTGAAAGCCAATAGAGTGATTAGTTTAGGAAAAGTACTGACACTGTGCTGAACTTGGTAACTCTTTAAATGATACATTGAGTAAAGGTACAAAGTTAAACTCACCATTTCAGTGGTGTACCTTCATATTCAAACCATATTTCACTAACTTCCTCTTGTCTCATAACTTTCTGGAAGTGTTTCTTTACTTTGTCTGTTACCAGTGTCAAGTAGCTTATCCTTGGCAAAAGCAACTGAAAGAAAAAAATTATAGAAACTTTAAGTAAACAGAAAATTTGCTAAATTAATAAAAATCTGTAACAAGCATGCATTTTCATAACCAAAATTCAGTCAGCATTCTCCCCCCCTCCCACTTTAAGGTAAGATGTCTTTTAGACAGTTTACTTATTAATGGTCAATGAAAGGCTATAAAATTATGTACTCAAAAGATGCAGAATAGCAGCATCAGATGGACCAACACAAAAGAAGTAAAAAAATACGTTCTTTATTCTTTCAATGTGGTGGAATTTGATTTCTGCCAAAGAATGAAGCTTCTAACCTTCTTCATATGAACAGATAGGAAAATGTTCTAACTTATTAAATATAATGAGCAACTGTGTATCACCTATTATTTAAAAATGGAAATTCTTACAAAATTAAGAAGAATTAAAACTAGCTGCTTAAGGGTTTGGTTTCCAAGCGTGTTTTGTATTTCCAATAGCTGGCAATTTCCATTTTCTTTGCACTGGGTTTGCCAATTCAACATGTTAGTGGAAGAATCATAGTAGCCTTGACTATTTAACCTTTGCCCAGCTACTAAAATCAGGAAGAAAACTGTCAATATTTTATCAGTTGAAACAAGACACCTTCTTCTAGCTTTCTAGTATACTATCTTTTTTTCCCTCAAGTGTAATGTTATGCACTATCCAAAACAGAATACTGTGTTATTTTTACTTGCAACTCCCCCCCCACTTTTTTTTAAAGTCTCATGCCTAGTAAGAATGGTTAAGTAGACTGCATCAGTGTACTGACTGATGACTGTATAGCACATTTACTTAAGATGAATCAGTCCGTAAGCTTTAACGAATAATGCCTTTCAGTATCCCAATGAGAAAAGATTAACCTCCCTGTAAAATAACATTTAGCTTTGGAGCAGACATTTTAAATGAATCATATTCTTCCTGTAAAGTTATTTTCACTTCCTAATTATTAATAAAATAGATGGGTCTAAGGCATAAATAGAAATAAATTATATGTTGCATACTTAGAGAAACATTTGTTTTCCAGTGTTCCTCATAACCAGTGTTGTTTCTTAAAATATTTTCTTTATAGTATATAGATAATGCTAGGCCTTAAGTGAATGCCTATGGTACAGCCACCACAAACTATGTAAGGATATATTATGCCTGACAGAAAACTTGATCTCTGCTGCAACATTCTTCCAGAATCTCTCCAACAATTAGACCACACTTTGATACATAAATTAGATAATATTTTGGCCATGATACTAGCATTTATTTATAAATATCAGATTCACAAAGAAGTATGGAGAATAAATCAAGAGTAAGTTCTTATGAAAGAGAATTGATTTGGTACCATATGGCTTTCTTTTTCCATCTGTTGCTCTTATTACCATCATCATATTGTTTCTACCTTTTTTCATAAAGTCTAATTCAGCAAGGTAATTAAACACAGCCTTCAGTTTTAAAAGGTGAACAATCTCAATAAATTCAAGTCATATACACACTCAAGTAAGAATTGTTTTGTACCTCAATGACTTGAATGAGAATATAATCTTATCCTTTATTAACATAATTCCACATATGTACTGTGATTGTTCTTGAGACAGTATAGTCCCGGCTACTCCAATCAAACCCAAATATTGTTGGTAATAATTCCATATTATTTCTGTGTGATATTTACAGCTAAATTAATGCTAGTATATCCTGATGAGACCCATTTGGACTGCTACAAAAGCCAATTTTCAGCATGCTGCATGTGGCACAGCCATGCAGGAATTGACAAATATATTAAAGCATTATTGATTGCAACAGTGTTTGACATAACCCTTTAAACTGCATAACTAACCTCCTCTGTGAAATATTTTACTTCAGTTTGTAGTGTGGAAGAACAACGCAGTTTCTATTCCAACACAATTAGAGATCACAGACAATAACCAAACAGCATTTAACTGAATTTAACAGAATGTGGCCAGCACTCCCAATGGGCCCCTTTGGAGTACAAAACCCAACTGTTTATCAGGTTAACAGGGACTGCCTGTTTTTCAGAGATGCTGAGCATTCGCAGCACCTACTGCACTCTTTTTTCGGTCTTCCCCCTCCATGAGAGACATGAAAGGATCCAATTCTATCACTTTTCTAGCTTTAATTATCCTAGAGATTTACAAGTATACTAATTCTGTTAAGTGAGACCTTTAAAAGCATAGTTTAAAGACATTTTCATTTTGTTACCCTTTTAATATCCATTGTCCACCAGCTATCTACACTCAGTGAAAGATACCAGTTGACAAAACGTATTTACTCCAAAAATCCTGTAATTTTTAAATGTAATTATTGAGTATTTCCAGAGGAAAAGTACTAAAAAATATTTAGAAAAAAAATCCTTAATGTATTTAACTATATGCTGGGCTTTAGTCAATCTCTCTGTTTTATAGAGGCCTCAGTATGAAAACCAAAATTCTACACAGCAGTTCACCTTCTAGACTATTGGGCACTCACAAGCTTCTCCATGTGGCAAGGAGCCTTCCTTTTAGGTACAGCCATGTTCACCAGAATGACACTTCTCCTGCAAAAACTTTTGCTACTGACTCCTAAACCAGTCCATGCAGGCCAATGAGGCTATACCCTTTCAGCCTTTGGTTATCCTACAGGAATACTTCTAGATGTTCGGAATGATTCAGTGATAAGAATAATAATTCTTGGTTTAGGGCTGTAATACCTAATTAAGGAAAAAACCCACATGATCATATGAGAAGACATCCTAATCCAAGTTCAACTCATTCCACTAGGTCAGATTTGTTCAACTGCAGGGGTTTTGTTTGGGTTTTTTTGTTGTTTTTGGGGGGGGTTGGTTTTTTGTTTTGGTTTTTTTTTTTACAAATAACCTATCAGCAGGCTTTGTGCTAAAGGTTAGAACAATGCTATGAAAATCAAACACAGCCAACAGTGCAAGTAAAGCAACAACTGCAACCCGAACGTAGGACTGATAAATCACCACTACATAATACACTAAAAGACAGAAAGCCCATCATAAATTAAACAACCTACAGTACTGCATGGGCAAACATGCACACAAAATAGTATCAAAGTTTTTAATGAATAGACTGAGTGCCTATTTAGCATAGACTCAATAGTTATCAATTTAAATAGTGCATGAGAGAAAATAAGTAATAGGGAAGTGCATGATATAACACAAAGAATTAAACAGAAGAGAATCCCAGTTTTGATTCAAGTTGACTGGCAACTGACTCTGCAATGCTGCCTGCTGATCAATGGCAGACAATATAATGCTTGCCGCTCACTATGCTGCGTAACAAAGAAACCTGAATGAAAAACTGCACTTTCAGTTGAGCTTTGTGGCTCAGAAGGAGCCACATCTGTCTTGTCCCCTAGACAGGACAGACTTGTAAGAAGATTCAAGAGAAGGCTAAAGCAGTCAGTGGGCAAATTGCTTGTAAGCGTCAAGACTGAGTAAGGATTCCTGAAATGTTAAGTGAGGCTGGATGTCTTTCCCTCCAGAAACCAGTTGTGTAAGTTTTCTCCCACTTGGTATAAAAACAAAAAGCTGGCATGAACTCCCTTAAAGTAGTCAGAGTACATGGTATAAAACCAAGTAGATGTTCACAACCTGTTGCGGTCAGACTGACCATTGCAACAGTAATGAAGACAAGATAAACAAATTGCTCAGAACTAACAATTTAAAAAATAACATTTCAGATTATGAAAAAACCTAAAATTCATATTCACATATGAATTCTTAAGTCAATGGCCATACCCAATGTAATTGTTTAAACCTTTTAAAATAAACAGGTACTAGTTATTGATTAACAGACATAACAATAATCAACTGCTTTTGGTATGATTTCTAGCCCTAGCTTTGAAAGAAATTGTGAAAAACATGCACACAAATTCATATATGCTCAGCTTATACCAGAATAGCTATACGAAACTGCTGGGGGGGGGGGGGGGGGAAACAAATAAGATTAGGAGTTCTCCTCATTAAATCAAGAAAACAAAAGTGAATCTGCAAATACATTACCAGGCAAAATAAATCCTAGTAGGCTAGAACATGCCATCCCCAAAATTACACAAACCACATCACCTTCCTTTCGCATACTGTATATTGCTACAGTATTTAATCCCAATAACCAGGAATGCTTTCTGTAGACGTTAAATGAAATGCAAGGAACTCCTAATGCCTAAGTAAATGCTTGTAATGTATCTTTGTGTAAGAATAGTACCTCTCCAGCTATCTCCACAGGTCTTGTTGCAGACCAAAACACCATTTTACATGTAGAACAGATTATAAAACAGAAAAATTCTAGATTTAACAGGAACTGGACTGGTCTGATCACCAATGTATCCAGGATGAAGAAACAAAGCATCCTAACAAGGAATGGCTTTACGTTGCTTACTCTTACAGACATCTTAATAAAACAACCCTTTTGACACTGGGGAAGCTTAAAGAGTGGCCCAGTAAAGGCTAGTCCCTTGGGCAGAGTATCATTCTAAGACCACTTCTGCTGTAATTTTGTTCTTTACACCTGACAAATCTCAGCCAATGAGTACTCTGCTCCCTGTACACATTTTATTTCTAGCTGTTGTTTGCACTAAGAGGCAGACAGTAGAACATTTGAAAATAAAAGTCTTAACAATTTTAGGACTAGGGAGAAATCAGACAGTTCAGCAACAAAGGTAGTTCAACCTAGCTGCTCCCAATTACGCTTTCGCTCCAAACACAGGCATCTCTAGGAAACACTCCAAAGAAACTTGATGTATCCATTTCCAGTGTAACTCTGCAGAAACCTACCTGGCTTGACTACAGGAAGAAATAGGACAGTGTTCTACCTTGAGCTGCTTACTCTTGATGTCACTACTCTTTCCAAAAGATAGACAAGCTCATTTTAAATTAGCTCTGCTACATCCATGCAGTGCCGTAATGCAATACATGCATGCATCGCTCCTGTGCTCTGCTAATACATCTAGCAGACAAGGGTCTCCTGTCACACCACTCACAACAAACTGAAATCCATCACACAGGTTCTGGGTTGTTTTTCTAACCCCTCACTCTCCAGTTCTATGTCTTCCTCCACCTTCATAAAGCAAGTTCCTCAGAGCAGAAGTTTTTTTTTTCCCCTCTTAACATAACAATGCCAGTATTTCCTTCCCATGCAGCCTTCCCATTTATGGAAGGCAGTCTGGAATAGAGAGGTTATTACCTATATTAACAAGCGTAATAAAAGGAGACACAAAGCTGAACAGCTGGCATCAAGGGCTGAGAACGTTCGCTACATACACTTCTTTACTTCAGTTTTAGGGGTTTTGATGGGTTTTACTTCAATTTAGCTCCAGTTTGATCCCATACACTAAGTGCCCATTAGCAGCTGACACACATCTTCTGCTTCAGCTTCACGTGAAAATGATTCAGCTTGTGGGCTATAAGACTGCTGTGTGATGCAAACCTGGGCACAGTAAGTGGAAAGGACGAAGACTTACTTCAAAAATGCACTCCAGATCTGAAGAAAAACATTAACATAGATGCACTCTGAAGCCCTGAGAACTAAACCATAATTTAAAACCTCGATTGCTATTCTACCTTTTACTGTTATAAATCCTTGGTCCCTTCAAGGAGCAAAGCTATAATATCAGTTCCAACATGACCTGAAAAAGGAAGAAGCTAAAATTTAGAATTGTGATCTATGAATAATCAGTGAATAACCAGAAATAGAGAATTAAGCCTTGAGAATTTTTGTGCACACTTTAAGCAGAGTAAATAAAAGGAACCCTACCAGCTCAAAACCATCTCTTTGGCTTATAAAGTTGGCCATACCGTTAAGATATCATGCTTTCAGGGTTTCCATGCCGATGTTAAACAGATCAAGACCGCATATCTCCATACTTAAACTCGTACCTTTCATGTAGCTCTTATACTATATATATATATAAAGTCTGAGACTTCTCGACAGCTCAGATGCATTTGGCAATAGGTCAATGACATGAAGTAAAATTGCTTCTGTTTTACCAGTGGTGAAACTAAAACATAGAAAGATGAGCACTATGATTACTGAACGAAAAGCATCAATGCTTTACTAGGTTTCAAAACCCCACTGAACACACATGTAAATCAGAAACTGATGACATAAAGATGCTATTAAACACAGAAAAAAATATTACTACCCAGTAATATTTTCAAAAAGAGTAGACTGGGATATGACAAGACTTTAGGATTTCAGAATCACGTAAAAACTCATAGTACAAGATTTTCCTCCCACATACTTGTTACGTTTCAAATTTACGTTTCACTGAATCAGCTAGCATTCTCTATCAATCAAATGTCTATTAGGTGCTGAAAGAATGAAAACTGCTGAGTACACTATAAATAAATACCACATGATTATAGAAGGCACCTCCATTTACAACTCAAATGCATCCACCACCCTCATTTTTATCATCAGCTAGCAATCCAGTTCAGGCACTGTACCATTAAGACATCATAGCTGCTTTTCCTACATCTGAGCTAGATCTCATGGCTGCTAGCATTTAAAGAAAAGAAAATGAGCAGAAGTCATCCATTAGCAGAAATACTGGAGCCAGTGTTCGTTATGAGTTTGTGTTACACAGGTAACTGATCTTAGTGTTTAAGACTGCAGAAAGCCCTGACTGAAGTTATTTCTGTAGCAAGGTGACATAAAAGTTCTCTCCTTTCCTTCTGGTCACTATCTAAGAACATACAAAGTCACATAGAGGCTAGTTCTTTTACCTAATTACTTGCTGACTTTTCATAATTTTTTTAAGATCTTAGTTATCTGCGATAAGTTTCCCTCACTGCTAAAACGAGCTTGAAGTTTTGAACCTGCTGTGAAGAGAGACGGATCACGCAGCATGGTCACATGGTTTACTTTCAGAAGGTACCAGGAATAAGAAGAAAAAAAAAGCTTGTGGTTTGGTGGGTGGTTTTTTTTTTCCACAACACATAGTAGCACACATGATGAGAATGAAGGAAACAAACATAACTATGGCATTGGACTATCTGTGACTACCTTTGTTATACTCACATAGTAAGGTTCAGCTTCCCTTTCAGTTATCTCATCCTGATACAGAGTGAAACAGGTTGGTATTCGTCCAAACCACACATCTCGAAGTACATCTTTGTCATCTGTCATTCTTCCAATGGATAGTGAAGCACATGTAGAACAGTTTGTTTCTTCAGCTAGAACTGCAACCCCATTCCCCCAAAAGGAAACGAGTCAGTAGGACTGCAAATAAATACACCTTGTTCAAGGTTCTCCCGCAAGCACGAGCAACGCTGTCACCGAGACGTTAAAGGCACCAGTTTGTACAAAGGACGGGAAGAATCAAAGCCTCCGAGTTAGCACTTTCCCAACTACAAACACACGGTGGATGACGAGTAAACGTGTATTTTCGAAGCCTGCCGCACGCCCCAACCCCAAAGGCGAAGGGGCCTTTCCCGTTACCGCCTTGCAGTCACGCCGCAGCTCCCCCCCCCCCCCGCCGAGGTCCCGGCTTTACGGCGGGCGAGCGGCCCCGGACCCGCGGGCAGCCAGCAGGGCCAGGGTCCGCAGACAGGCAACGGCGGGGACAACGAAGCCAGCAGGGCTCTCGCCGGCGGGGCCGCGGGCCGGCCCGGGGCTGGGGGTCACCGAGGCCCCAAGACGGGCCCCAGCATCGCCCACCGCCGCGCT